CACCTCCACTTTAGGCTTTACTCCTTTGAGGGATCTGGCAGGTGTGTTTAGGGGTGCAGAGGCTATGCTTTAGATATGAACTGCTTTAAGAATGAATATGACTAGAACAAGGGTATGCCTGCAGAGGCCCTGCTGTAACTCCCTGTATAACACCAGCACCGCCCTTTCATTCAGCTTTCAGCAACATGTGCAGTAGTGTCTTGGTTGTCTTGACTAAAAGAATGATCCTGTGTGTTTAGCTTGATCTTCTTTGCTACAATCCATAACAGATGCCATTGGTGTTTTTGTTACTATCGCTGCTTGATGGCTTTCTGCAACCACACTTCACATTCCTGAAGCTGAAAGTTTTGTTCTCTTAGCCACCGAGAAACACTACACTCTTATTTTGGAGTCTCCCTGCATTCCAAGATAGCACTGGTAACAGAGGACACACAAGGGTCAACAGCTCCTCATCCAGCAGCACAACCTCATTCACTGCAGCAAAGAGGTTTTCAGAGTTTGGGAATGCCCTAAAGAGCTTTACCTTCTGTGTCCCAAAATGGATGTCATTTGCTCTTTGTTCCTAGGCAACCCAGGGAGACACAGACAGCTGTTGTCAAACATTCTGCACCAAAATCGTCCCTTTTTGGCAGTGAAAAATCTCACTGAGCCCACTTGGGGTCTTGAATTCACACTGGGTGCGTTTGGGTTTGTGATTAGTCATGGTATATTTGTGCCATTGCTCGACTAAGGCAAAGCTGGCAGCAAGCTTAAAGTACTGTGTGTAAATTACATTTGCACTAAATTGTTCCAGAAACACCTTACTCTTTGGAGTGACTGGGAAAATGAAGGTGAGAACTTTTAGCATTATACACCTTCAGCCGTGTGAAATTCTGCCCTGGATTTTGTTTCTATTAACCTGGTGACTGAGATTCACAATTGTAAATGAGGACTGTACTTGGCCATGGATAATATAGACAACACTGAGATTTAGGTGCAAAAAGAGAGATCAAGGTGTTTTGACAGGATGTTTTGAACTCCTGTAACATTTTTATCTCATTACATCTGAGACGTGAAGTGCAAATAGTTGACATACACTTGGTCTGAGGAGTTGTCACCAACTTTCAGGCAATTTTTTTCCAAGTGTCAAGCTTTTACAAGCAGTTTGTGAAGTTCCTTTTCAGAAGCAGCATATAAACCCGGTCATCTCAGACAGAATGACCGTGACAGCAGCGACATCTCTATCTACCTGTTTCTATTACTAGAAATCAAAGATCTCATTTCCAAGTTACCTGTAGCAATATTGTGTTATTTCTTCCATGCAGAGTTATGGGACAGATAATTTTTCAGTTCCTTTCCAGACCTACCACCGTACAGTCTTTTTCACCAGCAACTTTTTTATTTTCTGTTAATTGTTACTCTAAAAGAAATAATTCACTCCAGGAGAAGCTGTCCAACTGTTATTGCACATACCTAACAGCTTGTTAAATAAGGGCTGGAAATGCATGATCTAGCATTGACATTTCTTAATTTTGGAGAATTTCTGATAAGTATTATTTTTAAACAAAGAAATTAGTTTAGAACAGCAGCTCTCAGTCTGTGATGACACTGACAATCTGGTTTAGCACACCAAAAATCACCAGTTTTTATACTTATGTCTGTCCTTGTTTCTAAGGTATCCATCCCCACAGCAGTGCCAGCAGGTCCTAACAATACTGATGCAGTATGTAGCAGAAGGAGATTTTCTACTGTTGTAGATATACAACCTCTTTGGGTAACACAATCTACGGTGATAAAATTTCTCTCCTGCCACTGTCCACATGGAAGATTTTTTTCAGCCTAATTTTGGCTGCTGCTGCTGTGAATTTTTCATACTGAAGCCAATATAGCTGTTCTGGAAGAACATTTTGAGCCAGACCCAGCCTCCATAAATCAAAGCATGCCGAGCCCACGTTAGCTGAGCATCTGGATGGGGAGGCAGGACATGCCTTTGGGAGTTACTCTGCCTCTTTGCAAGGCAGCCAGGAGACTGAAAGTGAAACTTGTTCATGGGAGCTGCACTCTCGCCATGTTTTTATTCCCAGGGGAACAGTGTGGTGCTGGCAGAGGGTCCAGACTGGACCCATGGTGGGAAGAGCAGTGACAGACAGAGGAAGTCAGACCTCAGGAGGGAAAATCACAAAATCATGGAATGGTTGTGTTGGAAGGAATCTTAAAGATCATCTAATTCTACCCCTTCTGCCAGGGGCAGAGACACCTTCCACTAGACCAGGTTGCTTAAAGCCCCATCCAGCTCAGTCTTGAACACTGCCAGGGATGGGGCAGCCACAGCTTCTCTGGGTAACCTGTGCCAGGGCCTCACCACCCTCTGAGCAAAAAGTTTCTTCATAATATCTAATCTAAATCTACTCTTTTTCAGCTTAAAGCCATTACCCCTTGTCCTATCACTCCATGCCCTTGTAAACAGTCCCTCCCCAGCTTGGTTGCAGCCCGTTTTAGGTACTGGAAGGTGCTCTAAGATCTCCCCAAGACTTTTTCTTCTCCAGGCTGAAAAGCACCAACTCTCTCATCCTGTCTCCATAGAAGAGGCGATCCAGCCCTTTTTATTGCGTCCTCTGGACTTTTTCTGACAGATCTGGGGGCACCAGAGCTGGATGCAGCACTCCGGGTGGGATCCCACCAGAGTGGAGTAGAGGGACAGAATCACCTCCCTCAACCTGCTGGCCACACTCCTTGTGATGCAGCCCAGGATGTGGCTGGGTTTTTGGGTGACAGGTGCAAGTGTCATGTTGAGCTTCTTGCCCACCAACACTCCCAAGTCCTTCCAGAACCCCAGGGCTGCTCTCAATCCTTTCTCTGCCCAGCCTGTATTTGTGCTTGGGGTTGTCCTGACCCGGGTGCACAACCTTGCACTTGGTCTCATTAACCATCATAAAGTTCACACACTCCCACCTCTCCAGCCTGTCCAGCTGCCTCTGGATGACATCCCTTCCCTCCAGTGTGTCGACCAAACCACTCAGCTTGGTGTCATCAGCAAACTTGCTGAGGGTGCACTCAATCCCTTGGTCCATGTCACCAACATGTCTACATGTGTGAGAACACAAGGCAGAAACAGCCATGCCCATGCACATATCTATGAATAACTGGCATTTTAGTTATTCTCAAACTCAGTGTTTTCCCAAAACACAATATGCAGAAGCCACATGGGTTGTTGTGTTGGCACCAGTGTAGGAACAACAGGGAGTCCCGATTTCCAGGTGAGTGGCCCAGGGAAGCCCTTTGGTCCAGGGTCAATTCCTAACCTTTTTCTCTCATTAAAATATCATTCAAGTGCTAAAAACGTTCTTCCCACTGGTTATATCATTATGAATGTTTACTCTGCCAGTACCTGGAAAAAATTGCTCTCTGAGGTAGAGCCAAATACATTACTAGATCTGCAAAAGATTTGACAGTGAAATTAATTAGTTAATCTTTGTAAAGTGCTTTGAAGATGAAGAGTTCACTATGAGTTTTAGGTAATGTTATTATAGGTTAGTGAGTAATTTTGTGAATTTAAGGCAGAGGGGTCTCTTTTACAGTGTCTTATAGTACGGCATTCACCATGTCTGTGCAGCTGACCAGTCTTGTCCTGTTATCTTCTGCACCCTTCTGTCTTAATTCTTGTGCTGCCTCTAATCCTCTAATACAAGCTCCATGGGTCAGGGACTGAGTTGTTTGAGGGTCAATATCCTTCGGGCATTGAGAATATTCTGCTAAAATTTGTTTTCAGCAAATTTCACTCCTTGTCATTGCTGCCCCCTTTCCTGGGAAGTTTGCCATCTGAGCCTGTTTTGGCAGGTGGTTACTCCTCCGCCTGAACAGAATCGGACCCTGACATCCCCAATCTCCTGCAACAGGGCAGCCCAATCCACTCTGGCTCGTTGCCCTGGGCCCCACCTGGATGCTCTCTGATCTGCTTGTGGAGCTCATGGTTGGTATTAGGTCAGGGACTTTCCTTCTGCTCTGTGTTTGTGCAGAACGCAGCGCCCTGGTTCCCCACCAGACTCCCAGATACTGTTGTAATGCAGGTAATAAATAATAACAACCTTTAAATCTCTAGTGCAAATTACAGCCTCATGCAACACCTACGTAATTTGGTATAATATTAGCACGGTAGCTACCTTGGGAGAACTATATTCAGATAAGAGAATACACAATAATAACCCTTCCATCTGAAATCAAATGGAATTGTTTAAATGCCTACAGCTCCCTTTCTGCCACCATGTGTTTAAAAGACAAGAAGGAGCACAAAAGGGAAGTGAGGGTGAGATAAATAACCAAAGACAAAAGGAATCAAAAAATAAATAGTAAAGCACAATAATGATGTCATTTCTCCTGTATAATACACAAAAATTCTTCTTAAGTCTGAGTCCTCCTTGCACCTAGCCCTCCATGATTACACTGGAGGAGATGAGCCCTCTCCCAGTGTTTATAGTCTGAGGTTCCAATCTTGCAAACATTTACATGCATGGTTAACTTTATGCACACAATTAGTGCAATTGAAGTCATGCCACTTGCAAGACAAGATGCAACAAGTGAGTGTATCAAACGCTAGGTGGGAAGAGGGCGGCAGACAGATGAAGGGTAGTAATGATAAGATCATGTGGTTACCTGGGCTAACTCTGCACGCTCAATGACTCCAAATGCCTTTTTTATTTTTGAATCATCACTTAAAAAGTTTTCCCTGTCACTCTATAACTGCTTATTGTGACTCAGAAAATGCTGGGCTTACTCATGTTCGTATAGTATGTAATTAATGGACTTTTTCATTTTCCCTTCATAGAAATGATATCTGTCCACCACTAACTAACCTTACTTTAAAAATAAGAAAAAAAAAAAAAGACTCCAAGCCTTTCTCATTTAACTCTTCTGCTTTTCTTCACTCTGTTTGTGTATTAACCTCCCCCTCCAGATACCTTCTCCAAAAGAACATCTAGTTTCCTGAGGCTTTTCTTATCTTCATTGCAGCTGTCCAAGAGTCAAGACCTGAGGAACAGGAAGGCAGACGTCTCATTGACCAAATATAGCAGATATCCTCCTTTTCATGCAGGGTCCTGGGATTGTGAACCACATGAGGGCTGCCCTTGACAACAGCCTGGCCTTGAGCTGTCCCTCCCGGCTCTTACCAACCAGCACAACATGGGGAAGCAGACCATGAAGTCTGGCAGAGCCAAAATTAACCAAACATCTGGACCAACCAGGGAGGGCAAAATAGCATTTTTCAAAGACCACCTTGTTCTCCCTTTGCCTTGCCCTTTGGGAAGATAGGACTGGCCTTTCGGCAGCTAAATCTCTCCTTGGAGGATCTTCTAAAAAGGCTTTGAAAAGTCAGATTCAGAAAATTCACCCTATGCCGCTCCACACACACTGGTGATACTCAAGGCACATCTGTAGAGCAGGTAAGCTGTTCAAAGTTGGATGGACTTGGGAAGACAATTTAGTTTACACGTAATATTGTTATCACATAACTCAGAATAATTATCACATTTGTGTTGTATTTTCATGATATTTGCTTCACTTAAATTGTTGTTATAAAATAATTTTATGAGTTATGTTGCTATACTCTGCGGCGATGTAAGGGAGTTTTCTGAACTCAATGGTGAGGCCATGTGATTTAATTGCCACACTATTTGTTAATTAGTCTGGGTGAAAATGCCAGCACCTGAGTGTGTTTAGAGAGTGGGCGGTGAGAATTTAGCTTTCTGTGAAGTAGTTCCAAATGCCAGAGAGCTTGAATTTGTGGTTCTGATTTCTTGATGTTCTTACTTCTTTAGCTCTACCAGCCAAATAACTAGCATTCAAAGTTTTCATGGGCAGAACTTTGCTTGTGTATCTCATGCATCTGAGTTGAGGAATGTTGACCTGATTCATCACTGGATCACATCTTGTGTAGTGCAAGTGGGTTTGGATCACTCTCAGACCAGGGAGGTGGGATTTTATGCATACTGTGAGGGCTTGAAGGGCTTGAAACAGAGGGGTCACCACCAGCCCCCTCAGTGTCTAGCTGTCATAGCTGTAGAGCAAGTTGCTTCATATCAAAGGTAGGCTTGAATTCATGTAGTCTTTGGGCAATTTCTGGTGATCAGACCTTGCAAACTCTTCATATAGTCTTGGACCTGCAGGAGAATCTGAACAAGGCAGATATACCAGACAGCAGAGATAGTGTTGGTCATGCATAGTTTGTATTAGATATGGGTAATGATGTACAATAACACTGGCTTTTTCAGAGACATGTAGTGCTGTTAATGAAGCTTCTGATGGGGCCCAAGGAGCTACAGGTCCTTTGCTGGCTATTGAACTGGTTTTAAGAAGCAGCAGCCACAAGGCTGTCAGTCTTCTCAATGTTAATATGCCCAGGCCTTGAGCTACAAGTTATGTTTTACATTATGTCTGTTATTTCTGGGCTAAGAAGTTTAAAGTTCAAACATCAGAAGAGTTTTGTATTTTAGGGAGCAGTAAGGGTATGCCACACTCTCATGTTCTTTCTGATGTTACAAAGTAGACTACGAGCTGGCAGAGTCAGTCACAGCTTTTAAACAGGATGGATGAGAAAGTAGCCATGCTTCTGTCATGTTTTGGAAATACAGGATAAAACACTCCCTACATAATACATGTTTTGATGACTTCAAGGCTTAAGGAAGACAAACAGATCTAGAAAGGATCTCTTTGCTGCATCATAACAGAGAAAGAAACAGCCTGGCATGAGAATAACTTGAGGGAAAGGAAGTAACTAACCCAGTGGTGGACTGATGGTTCCTTCAGTGCAGTCTGAGGCTGCAGGAAAGACTGAGTGGCTCAGTGCGAGATGAGGAAAAAGTCCTACTTGCCAGCAGTCTCATGTGTACACACTCAAGCTTATCTGGCTCTGGTTTAATTTTCCTGAGTTACTATTTTCAGCCCATCAGCCCACCATAAAGGTGTGACAGAAAGGAGTGGCTAAAAATTATCTCTAAAATCCATCATTACAGCAATTTTCTTACATCCACAGGAACGGTCTTCCTTTTCACAGGAATAAGGGTAAACCCTGTGTCTATTTCATCATTGTCTTCTACTATATTGGCCATAGATGGCAACAGTAAAGATGACATAAAAAGAAGTCGCTCACACTAGCAGGTGGGAAAACTGCTGAAATAATTACCCTAAAGGTAATTATTTCACTGGCATTTCAGAGCAGAGTCTGCTTATATGAGAGGGAAACTGCAAGTCACCTGTGCTTAATATTTAAGTTCACATTAATTTATACACAGTGGGCTAAATCGTGCCCTCATTCATAGGCACACTGCCCCACAGTGATTATGCAAGAGGAACTGAGTGGGGAATTTGATTTAGGGTGATTTCTTTTACAATAGCACCATGAAGTTAAGTTGGTATAAATGCAGAGGGAGTAAACCTACAGAAGAACATAATCTAGGGTGTAAAACAGCAAGTTTGGGCTATGACACTGTCAATAAAAACTCAACACCTGGACAGGGTCCCTGTCCAAACAGAAAACTCTCCCAAACATGCTCCAGTCCATCAATCTTCTGCAAAGCCACCAGTAGCAAGAAAAGGGCAGGATGCTCCCAGGCATCAAGAACCCTCGTAGGCTAGCAAAGCTCCAGCTGAGGAGCAGAAAAAGAGAGAGAGAATAGGCTGTTTAATCACCCTTCAGATAAGATAATTGTGGCTCAAATTCAGAAGTGTAAGGTAAAAATTCACTACATGCATGAAACTAAAACTACTTCATTTCAGGAAAGCTGGCAGAGTGTTTCAACAGCTTCCTGTGGCTTAGCTGCTATGACACAGTAGGAATAACCTTTCTTCAGACTGGGTCTTAGGAAGTATTATGTTTCATCCTTGCTGAGTGACCTGCATTTCACAGGTCAGATGTAAAAATTATCCAAGACTCAATTTTCTCGCCCCTTAGCATGTTGAGGGTTTGTTAGTGTACTGGGTACTTGGCACCCAGTGCTCACTCACCCTTCCTCATTCACAGAGCTGTCCACTTCCCTGTGTGTCTGACCACTGACCAAGAGGATATTCCAGATCCAAAACCTGCAGAAAGGAGAACTCTTCCCTTCCCTTTGGATCAGACAAAGTGGTTCTCCCTTTGCCCTGCAGGCACGGGCAGTGCAGGCAAGGAGCCAGCCAGACCTCCTGCTCCATCTGTGACACAGGGTGCAGGAAAAAGCTCCATTCTTAACAGAGAGTCTTGTTCCAACTTGTGACTATTGGTGCCAGCAAGGCCAGGTATCTCTAGGGGTGGTAGTGCCTAGGAAGGTTCAGGGCATTCTATTAAACAGGCAACTGAGAAAAATCAGCATGAACCTCAGCATTAAATTTATTTGTGTTTGTGTGATGTTTCCATCAGGGTCTCATGTCAAAAAAAGACATTGAACTGCTACTCTGGCTCAGTCATGACAGTTTGAGTTGCATATCCAACACTGGGATCCCATCACAATGACAAGTGATGGTGCCTCAGAGAGTATTTCTTGTGGGCACTGTGCTCAAATAACACTTCTGTGATGGGGTACCACGTGGTTTCCAAATTGAAAATATTCTGATGGTGGAATAATACTTCTTTTCCAATCTTTGATATTCCCAGGTGCATAATTAATTTTTATGGGGACATAATAATATGGTATCCTATACACAATTACAATGTGTGAAGTCTGTAATTTTTTTTTTTTTAAATCCTTTAAAATAAGTTGAGAAATAGCAACAAAGAATTTGGAAATTTTGCACGTTGCCCAAGGTACTTTCTTGAAATCCAGCAGCAGCAGCCATGAGCACATGGGTTAGGATGTTGGATATTTTCTATTCTGGTATCAGTGCAAAACCAGAGAGAGGGAGCATTACTGGCTTTTATGTTCAGGACTTGTCCTTATAAGTGAGTGACACGAACCACATAGCTGTACATACAGTTACCAGCTACACAACAGCTTTAACACAGAGATCACATTGTGGGTTTTTTCAGTATAGCTCACAAATGGCCTAAGAAATGATACCTGTAATTCTAAAAATACTGAAATTGGTCGGGAAAATGAATTATTTAACGGAAGTTTTAGAAGAGAACTGCACCAGAGTCCAGAGCTTTTTTGAGAACCCCTTCTGGCACTTGGAAAAACAATGGTTTGGTTTTTTTTTATATTTTTTGATTACTTATAAGTTGAAATACTTTTAGTAGGTAGCACTAAACAATCAGAGAGATTAAAAATAAATATTTTAATTTCATTACATTTCAAATAATCTGAACACAGTTTTCTTACTGAGAAAGGGGTTCTCATTAAAAAAAAAACCACCAAAAATTCATTTCAAACTGGACTGTTGTCTTAAACCAGCACAAATATTTATTCCCTCACTGCCTCTGTGATGTAGCTGTGGTTTCAACTGATTGCCATTACTGTTTTTTCATGGATATTTAGGGGTAGACTCCTTACTTAACACTTAACCATGCAGTCAGGTGCTTGCAGGACTTCTTTACAAACTCCTGAGCTGCCTTGTTCCTGATAAGCTGTGTAGGAGTTGGGCATCTGGAAACCTCTGCAAATCCCTCTGCCTGTGTACACTGGAAGGACCTCAAAACATTTAAAGATCTGGCAGTATGGATGGGATTCATCACATCTAACACCAGCCACCAAAATGGCACATGTCTAACTTAAGTGAACCACCTCACACCCTAAAGGGAAGCTCGGCCCTGGCAGAGGGCAAGGCATCCTCCCTGCAAAAGGCACCCAGCTCTGGACATGGTCAGTCATTTCATGCAGGTTTCTGACTCTTTCTGCTGACCTCAGGTGCAGCTGAGATCCATGGATTAGATGAGAGGCTTAACTTTTACAGACCTAATTTATGGGAGATTAATCCAGCACTAGGGTGAGGTATGGTACTGAGTTATCCGTACAATACTGTTGCAGGCACGTGTAACTAGTAGCTAGCACTGCCTGAATGTTTATTTTAGTCAAAACTTAGGGAGTTAGGAGTCAAAGTCACTGACCTTTACTCTTCTCCTTGACCTTGATCCAGCTGAAACCTGTAAAAGAGATACTTGGTGCTAAAACCAAAAACTCCCAGTCAGGGCAAACTCCTAGTTGCTGAAGGTTTTGCGTAAGATCACTGTGGGACCTTCAGGCAGGTAAACAAGTCACAAGGCAGCTTAGGTGTGTGTAAAATTACTATGGATCTCTTGAATTAAGTCCAACTCATCTCCTTTTTATATCAACATAGGGCCCCATAGGCCCAAGGCTGTGCTTATGCTTTTCCAACATAAGCATTTTTCTGTGCACAAAAGCTCCATCTGACCAGAATGCTACGGATATAATTTCTAAAGCTTTTTGAGATCCCTGGGTTAAAGGCAGTGTGGTACTATTTAAACTGCTGCACTACTAAAAGTAGAACTTCAATGACAAACAAATATAGTTTTGATAATTATTTGATATGATGGATTGGTTAACAATTGTCTTGCAAACAGTCAACAGACTAAATTTGCCTTAGACCAGTCTTTACATCTGGGGCTAGCTGTCCTCCTCACCTTTCCTGGAATGCCAGCTATGATGAGCAAGCTATTTTCAGTTTCTTATTAGGAAGCTGCCTTTGGACCAGTTCCTACATTACTTAGCATTTTGCCTGAGTAGCAAAATCAGAATCTGGCTGTAGAAAACCTGTTTTCTTGGCACTTTGAGCTGATTCCTTATTAGTGTAGTTACCTCTAATATCTGCTATGTGCTGTCTGCAGTGGCCTGTGTAAGCACACCTCTATGAAGATGGAGTTGTTGTGACACTTGTCTCATGAAAGAGCCTCTCCTGTTCTTCACTTTGAAGGTCCACTAAAAGGTGTGTCTATGATGACACATCTGTTCTGGTATTTTTTTTTTCTTCTTTCTCATATTAAAAAGTACCGTGATAAGTTCTTGTCGCTGTGCCAGGACGTCACTCGATACATGTAGAGGAGAAACAGTTTAAAGCTACTTGACTAACAGCTTCCTCTGTCAAATATGACATTAGAGTTATGATTGTCTCTTTTTTATCTCCTCACTTTGATGACAGGCTTATCTGAGGTAGCGAGACAAAGAGCGAAGTTGATTCAGCCTACCATGCTGTGCAGGTGAGAGTTTTGAGATCAAGTACAGCTGTTCGAAGGGCAAGTCCTAGTGCTGAATGACAGCTGCTTTCATCAGAAGCATGGCTTCTTTCTTTCTTTCTTTCTCTCTCTTTCTTTCTTTCTTTGTTGTTTTTTTGTTGTTGTTGTTGTTGTGGGTTTTTTTGACAATGCCAAGAAATTCAACTGAGGCTTGAGGAAGGTACAAGATAAAATATCAAAATATGACTGCCTGTGTAATAGTGTCAGTCTGAGCTACTGGCTCCTTTTGACATTCTTAGATCAAATCAGATGCTTTTAGAAAATCAAATGTGTTATTGCTGATTCTGGTCAGGAGTGGATCTGTTTATCAAACCCATGTGTATCACACCCACTGTAAGGCTGCATGGAATACTAACATTTCTGATTTGTTGCTAGGAAAGGGTTGCAGATTGCTCAGTTCTGTGCTCTCAGTGAGGGCTTTCCAAGATCACGCTTTTCACCTTTTTTTGAAGAGCAGCGTGATATTCCTTCCTCCTCTCCTTCCCTGCCCCTCTCACTCCCTGCCTCTCTACCCCACCTCTCAAAACCCACTGTTAGTGATTTGATAAGTTCATTAGCCCACTCTTCAAAAGCCCTCAGATAGTGCACGTTATTGGGACTTTTGACGTGTGGCTATTTTGAATTTCCCAGAACACTCCCATATGCAGATGCAGCATGAGGTTTTGCAAAAAAAGCACTCAGCCTTTATTGCATGAACAAAATCTCCCATGTAAGCAAGCAAAGAAGTATGTGCTTATCCAAGTATTTATCTATGCCTGCAGGTATTTGAAGTTTGTGAAGGAGTGCAGGGTTTGTACATGCACCGGTTGGACTATACGTACATGTTATTAAAAGCTGAATATACCTAGGGCTCTCTCTCACTCACTCTGCCTATCCAGGAAGGAATATATATTTTTTTAAACCTCAGGTTTTCTTGCATTCCCTGAATAGAACAACCTGATTCCTACCTTAGTATTTTCTTTCTACTTGTCTGCTATGTCATATGCTACAAGCATATCACCACATTCATGCTTTTTATTATTTCCTCTTACTTTTCTTCAAAGACCATTCAGGCAATCTAACTTCCTGGAACTGAAAGATCCTGGCTGTGTAACACTGGAAAGTCTTGAGGACAAAGACACTGCTTTTCTTTTCTGTAATACACATCAGCCACATCTCTGTAGAAGTAACTTTCCAGTATGGTTTTCCCACCAGCAGGAGACACTGATTTTTCTTCCATGAAACGTGTAAGAGCCTTGGAGTTTATTTTAGGTGAAAACAATCATTCATGTCATCCAGTAAAGGCACTGGAAATAAGAAAAGTATTTGTAGCCATTACAATATTCCAGTGTATGGTACTTTTGCAGCTATTGATTGATATTCACTGAAACCTAGAGAGAGTAGATTCTATTAATACCAAATCTACCTATTAACCTCTATTAATATTAAAACAGGACTGAAAGAATCATGTGAAGTCAGAGGGCTTGTACATATTGTAGCAATGTCTAATATTTATACAAATACCCATTGCATGAGAAGAAAAGAAAAAATGCTATTTTCTACTTGCATATATGCGTTATAAATTGTAACATTACACTATAACAAAGTTACGAACTAATACACTTGAGGAAGAGAGTGAAGCTGTGAAACTATTTGTGTGTGTTAGGAACATGCTCTTTCTTACCCAGATCCCACCACTGAAGTCATGCAAGGGGAAGCCCTATACTCCATGGGACCCTATTCTCAAATTCAGGACCACCAGTGCCATATGCTACGTCTTCCACCTCATGCAAGATCACAAAATGTAAAGGGATGTAGGAAAAGAGAAGTATGTGCCTCATCTTAAAACCCCCTGGAGCAAGAGCAAGGCAGGGTTGCACAGCGGTCAGGAGTCCAGAGCTGCAGATAACCAGCTCAACACTGTTTTTGTTCCATTGAAATTTGAGGTAGTGGGTACCTAGATGCTTTTGAAAAATCTCAGTATGCCTCAATTTGCCCTTCTTGACATCTAAATATCTTAAAAAAATATGGCCCCTTAATTTTCAACAGAGATTTCCAAAATTAGACCCTTTCATTATTACAGCCAGAGTGATAGCAAATTGCTACTGAGGAGCTTTTCACTGTGGCCAAACCCAACAATAACAATAAAAATCTAATAATCCAAGCAATCGACTGCGTATTGAATAATTGTTCTGGGGGCACAGTGTAAATAGCACAATTCTGGACATACTAAAGAGACTGAAAGATTAAAAACCTAAATGAACACAGAAAATGTCTGTCACGTCAGATACATCAACTCTGCCAGTCCAATACATACACTTAATTAAAATGGTTCAGCCATCTGTCCAAGAGGGTGCATGGGAAAACTTTAATTGATTGTCTCAGTTTTTCCAAGTGATCAGGAAATAGGGCTAAAGCTAGCTCTCCTGGAATGGATTTAAGAATTATAAAACTGACAGTTGGGGAATTTTCTGCCTTAGCTATTTTAAGCCTCTCTTATTTCTCCCCACAACTTTGACAGAATTGGACGATTCAAAAAATACAGATGCATCTGAAGTACCAAGAAGGCAGGTGAATGACATCCCTGGGTGACAGCCAGGCCTTGTGCCTGAGGGGCGATGTGCTGTGAAGAAGGGTAGGTGTTTTCCTGCCCTCCCTGGAGGGCACTGCGGCGGAGCAAAGGAAGCTTTCATTTTCCACTGGGGCTCTCCAGGAGCTCAGTGATGGAAACAACTGAGAGGGCACGCAGGATCCCTCACTGCTTTTTTTGCCTCTCTCGCCTCTTGATCGGGTGTTTGCTCTGTAAAAAGATGCAAAGTCAGAGCTGTGTTCACCTGAGTGTGGCCACCTCACCTGGAGCTGTGCCTAATGTGGTAGATCCTAGGATGAGATTCAGGTCATCTAACTTCACCTACCTAAAAGGTGAACCTACCAAAGGTCTAGTCTCATCTGGTCACCTTATGAAATCAGTGAAAGAAAGGCCCCCTCTGAAGGTGAGCAAAGCTCCTTTCTGTAAATGCTCCTGCTGAAGGTCTCCAAAAAGACATTAAGTCCATATAATTGTTTTCCCTAAAAGACAACCTGTAATCAATCACTGAAGACAAGAGACCATCATCCATGCTTATCTTCATGGCCACTGGCTTTTCCAGATCAGATTCTTCCTGCTTGTTTTTTTCCAAATTCAGTCTTGGGGTTACAATCTAAGGTGGCTTGCTTATCTCCTCCTTTGCAGCCTCCATTGCCCTCTGCCATTTATTTACCTCCAAAAGATGAGGTTCTTCTATCAGCCATCTTCACAGAAATTTCCTCAGAGACAATTTAATCAGCTTTGGGGGGAAAGTGCCATAGATATTCATATGAAAATATCTGTATGAGGAAAAAAAAACAACAGTGGCTATTCTCTTGCTCCTAGGAGAATGTTTACCAGGTGGCCCAGGTCTCTATTGCCATTCACCAGCCTCTGAAATAACAGCCTCCACTGATGAGGGTGAAAAAAAGCTCCACAGAGCAATCATTGAAGCAGGGATAGCTGACACAGAAGCAATCCCTTTTGTAATCACCCCCTTAGGCCCTTCAAAACCTGGATGGCAACAGCTCAAACCCTTATCCAGGGCCCTCTCACCAGCCCTGCTCTGTTATCATGGCTGCCTACTCTCACCAAGACACACTGGCTCCAGCGGTATTTTATATTCCTTGTTGTGGGAAGAGGCTTATGCCTCCCCATTGCTTCACTAACAGCTAGGGGAGATGGCTGAGCAAGTTGAGCAGTGGTAGGAGCAAAGCGAGTACTCCTTCAGCCTGCTCAGTAGCCTCAGGAAACAGCAGGGTTGGGGCACACCCTGCCCGAGCAGGGGAATGGAACTTCAGAAGACTACCTCTATCCCTTTAGACCACGAGCAATCTTCCAGTCCATTCAGGTGTTTGCAAAATGGACAGACTACAGGAATCTTTGGTATCTGTCTATGAACTGGACGCAGTCACAGCAGCCAGTTAACACGCGTGTGCTGCTGGGAGGTGTGTGTGATGGCACTACCACGGAGAGCTTCTGAAAGTTGAAATGCACACCAAGGCTTCCCTGAGTGCCTTGGGAACCCAGCTCTCTCTGTGGTTGTCTGCTTCAAGACCTCAGGTTCACGAAGAAGTTTTAAATGTTTGTTATGTGTGTGCAGGGAGTTCAGTGACTGGCTAATGGGTGTCAGGTGACCAGCAACATGCTGAAAACAACCATTGATCAGAGCACTTTCAGAAGTGTTCTTATATTGTGGGGTATAGCAATGCTTTTTACACACTTGTCCCAGTTTAGCTGCAAAAATCTGGGGAGACAGCAGTCAGGTGGAAAGCTTGTGGGGAAGGCTCATGAACTGGGAGGTTGTGCTAGGTTTGCTTCCCTGATGCTCCAAGTAATGTCTTTTGACTTTGTTGATGTGCCCTTCGTCTGGTCTCCAGCCTCCATGCCCATTCTTCCCTCTTCTCCCACCATTCACCCTTGTTCCATCTCACTCCCAAGCTGCTATCTCTGCCCTGAGCACAGAACTCTGCCCTGTCTCACAAAACCAACTGTCTCTAGTGTTGCTACCAAATGAGCCTAAAGCCATATATGTATCTTTTAGCAGTGCCCACGCCCTGTGCCTGACCACCCACTCTGTACAGTCTTCTGTACCTTCTTCTATAGTTTTCTGAGACTCCACGAACAAAACTCACTGTTGTCCTGCCCTGGCTCTTTCTGGTTGTGCTGTTCAAAGCACCATACATCAAGGTGTTCACCCACCCAGAGAGCTGCTTTGGGGGAAGGTAAGACATTTTGTCTGCGCTTGAAAAGAGGACAACTTCCACTCCTGAACATCAGCCCCTGTGCCTGTTACACTGTCCCACCAGCTCCCAGTGACAGTACGGTTCCTCATCAATTGTTTTTTAACTTGGTGGCCTTTTCCCAGCAGGGTCATAGTATCTATTTGTGTGTCACTGAGACAATGTCTTCTAGCCAC